GTGCCAAGTGACACCAACATCAGGAAGAAGGAGCATGAGAAGCTGGAGAAGTACCAGGGCCAGAAGGAGGAAATAGAGAGGATGTGGAAAGTAAAGGCCAAAGGGTCCCAGTAGTGGTAGGAGCACTCAGGGCTGTGACTCCTAAGCTGGGAGAGTGGCTCCAATAGATTTCAGGAACAACATCAGAGCTCTCTGTCCAGAAGAGTGTGGTGCTAGGAACAGCTAAGATACTGTGCAGAGCTCTCAAACTCCCAGGCCTCTAATAGAGGACCTGAGATTGAGGAAGTCGCATACCACCTATAGGGATGAGAGGGGATTTTTATTTGTGTGTGTGTATGTGTACATACACATGTACGTACACATACACACACACACTTTTATATTAGTGATTTCTAACATGCATTTTATTTATATTAATGTACTAGTCCATATTCATTTGTTCAAATTATACCAGTTTTCTTTTAAATAAAAATCTCATTTGTATGCACTGATTTTTAGTCTGTGGGTTAGTGCCATATTTTTCAAAAATGCAGAAAGATAGTTGCTGGTGTAGCTAATCAGTATGAATTATAATAAAAAAAAATAGCCTAATTTTGGATTTTTGTGCATTTTCCTCAGTCTCCACTGTTTTGTATCACTATATCTGGATAAGCGTGGTTAAAATGCCTTCAATATTTAAAACAGATTGGGTAAACTTTTGCAGAATTTGACCAATCAGATGCTGGATGTATTTGGTATCCTGTCAACCATTGATACAATGATTGTACTGTGTCTGATATTCAACTGTATGCTAAATTATTTTAACGGACTTCAGCTTGTGTATTTTCTTTTGGTTTCCTGTCCTGCAACTTGTATGTGTATCCCTAATGTGCTGTATATGATATTCTAGGCCTCCAAAGCATATTTGAAGTTTGGATACAGGTAGAGAAGAATAAAGTATTCATGTTAATGTTGGCTGAAGTGTTCCATGAACTGGCAGACAGGATTGATGTAGTCACCTAGGACAGTGGTTCTTAAACTGTTTGTCCCAGTTATCCCTTTTCCTGGTCTCAAATAATATCAAAACAGAATGTACTGTTTTACACAAGGGTCTTGACAGCAGCAGTCCCATACTGGATCCTCGATTCTCGAATAAGCAATTACACATTGCTCCATTATCCCTAGGATATGCTGAAAATACCCTTGGGGGTAATTTCCCCCAGTTTAAGAACTACTGATCTTTAACGTTAGAAAAACATCTTGGAATATTTAGAAATAAGAATGATAGATAACACAAATCATCCTTAATATGAATATTCTCAAACATGAGAATTTATACCTGAATATATGGGATTAAATAAACAAAGGATGGATTTGAACATAACACAGTATTGAAAAATACAAAACAGCTTGTCACAGGGGTTTACTGTAGGTTCTCAGGATTTGATACAAAAGACCCAGAAAAGCAAGGATTTGTTCAGCATTTACTTTCAATTCCCAACCACATTTCTTAGCATAGCTGGCATGGTTATTTACAGTTGGAGATACCAAACTTGGATTCTTCCACCTCCTTCCCATTTCTAGATAAGGCACAGCTGCTTAAGATTCTAAATTGCAGAGTAACTGAACCCTTTTCTCTCTACTTAATATTATGGAGCATAAATGTTTTCTGTCTGGATATGAATGCACTCTATATTGTTGACAATGCATATGTGCATTGCTCTACAGATAGTCCTCGCTTAATGACCACTTGTTCAGCGACTGTTCAAAGTTACAATGGTGCTGAATGAGTGGTACAACCAGTCCTTGAAGTTTCGGCCATCGCAGCACCCCCGCTTATGGAAGGAATAAAAGATTGCTCACTAGTGTTACATGTTGATATTATTTGAGCTCTTTAAGATCAGTAACATCCAAAAAGAAGGTAGAACAAAATAATTAAAAGAGATATATTATTTTTTTCATTGTTTAAAAATTGTTAATGTTTAGTTTCTCAAAGAATATCTTGACTAATTTTAAGTAATATGAATGGTCTGTCTCTAGTATTATCTGAGTTGATGTCCAGAGTAGATTCTGATTATCAATTATGTCATACCAAGATTGTAAATGAGAAACATGTTGGAGAAATTGACACATATAGCAACATACATATTTGCTTGTCATCTTCAGTTGAGTAGGACTAATTCTGATTGATCAGTCAGGAAAGCTTTGCATTTACTTAGGTTTGAAACTGGCTGCATTTCAGTTTGATTTATATTACTGTGCTATTGAAAAAGCCATAGAATTGGAAAGAATAATTTAGGCTATTGAGTACAACCTCCTGTTCAATGCAACTATCCAAATTAAAATATTCCTGACAGACGCTGACATCTGCTTGAATACATCCAGTGAAAAAGAGCCCACTCTTTTTCTGTAATTGGTTCAAAAGTAAAACTGCTTCTTATTGTTAGTTTTTTTCTAACAATCTGTTGCAATCTAGCTTCCTGTAGATAAATCCATTATTCCATGTTTTGCAAACCTTGACCTTCTTTTATGTGACATTTTATATATTTAAAAAGTGCTATCATATCCTCTCTTTCTTTGCCTCTCAACATTCTCGGTTTCTTCAATCTCTCATCATATAGTTCAGTTTCTAGATCTTTGCTTGTCCTTATTGAACTTCTCTGAGCCAGTTCCAGATTGTTTGAATCCTTTTGCAAGCCCATGCATTTGATTTCTGTTTCCTAAATGAATTTTACATTAGCTACTATGTACATTTATTTTATTTTTGTTTTATTTTTAACCATTTCCTTAACCCATTTTTAACCCATGTTACAGTTTTGAGTTTTATTTCTGTCTTCTAGGAAATTAGCTATTCCACTAAAAGTTGTGCCATCTGTCAGTCAGACAGGCAGTTGTTCAACCACCTCATCCAAATAATTAATAACAATATTAAAGGGTGCTGGGCCTAGGATTGAATTTTGTGACACTTCAATTTTTGCTCCAGTTTAATGTAAATATGTCACATGCGATTGTGTGTGTGT